TATATATTACCTCAGGCTTTCTTTCATCAGTACATATTGCCAGCTTCTCCTCTCCCAGCCACCTGGGATTTCCACAATCCTCCTTTTTCTCTCAATCAATAGCTAGTCAGTCAGTTTGTACCTGGTAGTTTTTAGTTCCTTGAAGCAATAACTTCCAAACCTGATTTTCTTATTGCCACCATTATGCTGACACTGTCCTGATTCTTTGCCAACCTCAAGGCAGAGTCCACATCCAAAAATCATGGAATCATGAAATTGTTAGTCTTGGAAAGGTCCTTAAAGATCATCCAGTTCCAACCCCCGCCATGCAATGAGACAGCTTCCACTAGACCAGGTTCCTCAGAGCCCCATCCAGCCTGACCTTGAATGCCTCAAGAGATGAGGGCATGACAGCTTCCCTGTGCAATCTGTTCCAGTGCCTCACCACACTCACTGTAAAGAATTTCTTCCTAACATTTGAAGGCATTACCCCTTGTCCTGTTACTACATCCTCTTGTAAATGATCCCTCTCCATCTTTCTTGTAACCTCCCTTTAGGTACTGGAAGGTTATTTCAAAGCCTTCTCTTTTCTAGGCTGAAAAATCCCAATTCTCTTAGCGTTTCCTTGTAGGACAGGTGCTCCATACTTCTAACCAACTTTCCTCTTGTACCACTCTGCCTCCCCTCTCCTTCCCACCAGATTCACTCCCAGTGAAGAGCCACAAATTATTATTAAAACTGCAGTTTGGGAACCCCTTTTCTAGACTGAATTTCATGGGACCCTGTTAACTTGAATATATTTAAATACTCTAATCCTTTATACTTCTCTCATTTATCCTTATAAATGAATAAGGGTATCCATTCTCTCTTCTATCTTCTATCCTTAAAAGTGTTTAATAGCAATAATCTTGATGTCCTAATTTACTCAGACAAACTGTAAAGTGGTCACTGGAACTACCAAAGAGCTGGCTAAAAAGTCAACAGATAAATGATCAAATTTCCTACTCTTACTCAGTAAAGCCAATTGCAGAGCCTTCCACATTCCTGGATTTATTTCACTAAAACGGAATCATCATATCATTGCACAAATCCTATAGATTTAACCTGAAGTCAGATTAGATGCACTGATTTTTTTTTTCTTTCTGCAACCAGCTTTGCTTCTAAAGCCATTAGATCAGAAATGCCTGTCTCCACAATACCAATGGCCACAGAGTGGCTGATACATGATCAGTGAAGAGTCTGTCTCTGCTCAGTTCTCATTTCATTCATTAAACAATTCAGTCAGTAAGAAACAGAATACCAGCAGTTAGTAAATTTGAGCCTTCAAAGATTCATCTAGCTGAAAAGCTCCCTGACTTAATGAAAAACCAGAATAGAAGAAGCAATGAAAGACCAACGAAGGGAATAGAGAAGCTGCCATATGCAGTGCAAGCCAGGCAGCTCCTCCACTTTGCCAAAATGCAGCTTCCGTTTCTCAAGAAGCCAAAATTCATGTTCACTTCTTTGGGTGTTCATAAAGAGTCAAAGCAGAAAGATATCTGGGTCTGAAGTTTGAATTTCAAAAGGGACTAAACACAGGGAGAGAAAAATATATATGTACAAATAAGAATCTAATCAGCTTCTAATCAGAAAAAAATTATTTTATCCATTATTTAAATTTAGAGTTCCTTATTAAAGTCACCCCAGGACATTCAGATTTATCCAGGAACAGTGGTGAGAACTAGGCATTCCAGTTAAAAATTTGTCTTTAAAAAATTAGATCTTGGAATATATAATGGGAAAAAAAAGAAATCTGTTTAGCCATTTAAATAAAGCAATAAGCAGCATCATCATCTTACATCACACCATTCCTACCTAACTACATGGAACAAAATATTCAAACTGCTAAAAATGTTAATACTGGTAGTAAAGAAAAATTCTCTTTCTTCTGACACTGTCAATGTAATTTTAAAATATAAAAATACATCTACTAAAAATTTTATTTTGATCTCTATTTTGAATATATTCTTTCCTGATAACATAGTCTACTAAAAAGGCACCAGCACATTGCTTTCAACCACTTTGAGAAGCACCTCTTGCTGCTTGAAGCTAAATCTGTATAAAACCCAATTTCTACATCCGGAAACATTGCAGTATCTTTTTCAAGTCCTAGGAAGTGTTAAGGCAGCATTTTGAGTATATTTGGGATCTCAGAGATAATTTTAAAGCTGTCTGCCTAGCACAGCAGGAACCATTTGTACCAGTAGCTGTTTTGCCTAGCAATAATCAGTGAGGTCCTGAAAAGAGTGCAGCCTTACTGGCATGCCAGAAATTAGCCCTTTTTCCTCAGGAAGAAACCATACTCCTTTCAATTTCTCTTTCATAGATGTAAAATTCCTCTGGCTTTTAATCTCTATTCTTTTGCACTTTCTCAAACACTGTGAAATTGTTAATAGTAGTGATAACATTTTTTCCTGTGTTACACCTTTTTATTTGCATCAGCTCAGAGATCTCTGAAGGATATAAATATAATAGTATAAACAGTGTAACATTGGTGGGAATACTAATAATATGCTATGCATGTATAGAACAATGATAATATAGAGAAAGATGATAATTAATAGTGATATAGATACTGGAGGTTTAATCTTGTAATCTTGTCATTGTAAAATCCTGAAAGCTACATTTTTTTTTTGTGTATGTGACATGCAGAATAGATCCCAACAGATCTTACTAACTGGTAGTGGTGAATTAAGTTTGGCATAACTACTCTATCATACTACTGGAAACCTTTAAAGCCTACTTTATAGGGGTTTATCAGGTAAATTCCTACGTTGGTGCAAGAGCAAGTTTGTGAGCAGAAAACACACTACAAGCTAGCTGATATATCAAAAATAGAGTATCTGGGCACTAGACCAAGTTGTAATGGACAGAAATCCAGGGCTGTCACAAGTGATGATGCTGGGATTTATTTTTGCTCTATTTTCTTAATGATTTGAGAAAAGAAACATGCTAAATCATGATTAAACTTCTAAAAAGCTCATAAGTATTGAGAAATGGAAAGCAAAAACATGGATCAAAACAAATGCCATTTTAAAATTGTGGATATTTTCACGCAGCATTCATAGTTTAGGTAAGGTACACCTCATAACGTAGTGTCAATATTTCTATTTGCACACCTGCAGAAAGCCCTGAAAAAACGATGCAAATTGGGAAATTAGGCACAGCAAATCATTGCTGTGTCCACCAGGTGCAGGGGCCATTGATGATCCTAAAAAGAACTGATGACCAGTGAATCTATATAGCCGTAACTTTGATTGTCCTCTCCCATCCTTCCCAAAAAGCTTTTGGAGGTTTTGCAATATCATCTCCTAGGGCCCAACAGAACATCGGAGTTCTTGTGAAGTTGATTTGTCCAGAAATCTCACTGTGTTTTCTCAGAGTCTGATGGTACCCAGAACCCTCACTGGCTGCTCTGACCCCACAGGAAGCCTGTTCACAGAACACCTTGGCAGCATATTTTAATTTCTCACATCAACTGAAGCTACGAGGCATTCAAAGCTTAATCTCTGCTGGCAGAAGAGGATCTCATGGTATTTTCTATCTACCATGACTCAATTAGATGACAAGGCAGAAGGAAAGAGAAATGCAGAGACAGAGATCCTTTCACCTACCACTAAAGAGTCTCCTCCCTTGAAGGATTTTATCTCCAGAGGAAGTGTGATCATTACAAAATTATTAAACAAAATGTTGGGTTTGACCTCTAAGCTCAGAGAAAAATAAATAGCTCTATAGGAGCTTCCTACTTTCTTCTCTGAATTTCTTCATTATTATTGTGCCTGTACTAATGCAATCAAACTCAGCCTGAAATGTATTTCCAGCAGATTTCTTCAGAACTATCCTGACAGAACAATGAAAATTAGTCTGTGTAAGTCATCTAATCAGTGGTGTCTCTACTTGAGGTCAAAGAAAGGCTCCCTGAATTAGCTATTTTCTTTTTGACATGTGGCTTGAAGATGAATGTGCAGTCATGTCTTTTTTTCAACCGAGTAGCATCAGTATGAGAAACTCTGTTTTAACGATAGTGATAGTGCTGTGACCTAAAATAGATTGATAACTATCATGAAGATCAATTTATTTTCTACCCTTTAAAAGGATGAGTGGTTTAGTTTTATGTTTGAGCTAGACTTTTCTTTGCCCAGAACGTTCTTACAAAGGCCTAAAAAATGTCCCCATTAATGTTCAAATGCCAGTCAACTTTAAAACACAAATTCAGAATTTGCCACTCTGATCCCCACCCAAAACAGCAGTGTTGAGGAAAGACTTCATGTGCTTTATGAAACCAAATGGATGCTATCAGCAGTTTTAGCATTTAAGAGAAAAGGTCTGATAAAAACTCTGATTCTTCCTTTTGCACATGCACCAGAGAAATCTATGCAATGGAATAATGTCTGTTATACATAGTACCTTTAAAGCATACACAAAAGTGCATGGAAACAAACTGTTTCACATTCTTTTATATTTTTTAAATAATTAGAGGTAACAAGTGGGTTTTAGAGTTTTCAGTTTTCCATCCTTTTTTTTTTTAGTAGTAGTCTACAGGATTTTCAAATAACTACTCTTTGCATCCAACAACTGAGAATACAGATATATTTTGCTATGAAGATGGCAGTAGACTTCACACGTATTTCTAAACAAGATTTCACAAGACCTTCTTTTTATGTAATTCATCAGCGTGAAATTATTTAATAAGAAACTTTTATGGCTTGAAATATTTAGCAATTGCTCAAGAAAATATTGATGTCATTCTGCATCTGGAAATCATCTCAGTTCTAACCCTATGACCATTTTTTATATACAGAGAATAATTTGAAATCAGGTGGATTAAAGTAGCTGGATGGACTATTTTCCATTAGCAAAATGCATCTCTTTAGTAGCCAAAGATGAAAGTTGCTATTGCTAGAAAGAAAGGAGGGATGTATGTACATATTTTAGGCATGGTGCATAAATAAATACTGTGATATTTTGCCTTTTCACAACAGATGACATCTTTAAGTCAAGAAGTCTCACAATTACGTAAGGATATGAAGAATGTGATGCACCTTCTGGAAAACCTGCTCACGTCCCAGAAGCCTCCAGGATTCTGTGCTGTGCACAGCATATCTCGAAGTCCCACACTGGATAGTCTGCAGTCTCGAATGGCTTGGACTACACATCAGCCTTGCTCACACATGCAAGCTGGGAACTTCACTTGCACCAAAGCACAACTTTGTCGTGGAAACACACTATGTGACATTTGGAATACAGGTCTGTCTTCTGTAGGCAGCAGTCCCCAAAGGACTGAACCCAACGTGCAAAATTCTATGGATGGTGAACTTTATTATACAACAGGCCTTCAAAATTCCCCTTCCCAGTATCACGTAATTCAGAAAGACAATCTGCAATTTTTGAGATGCACCTCTCCCCACTCAGACACTACCCTGACTCCTCTTCAGTCTATTTCAGCAACCCTTTCTCCTTCAGTTTGCTCTTCATCGGAGACATCACTACACCTAGTGCTGCCCAGCAGATCAGAGGAAGGGAGCTTTAGCCAAGGAGCAATCAGCTCACTAAGCCTTGAGAACCTGCCAGGATCGTGGGACCTGGAAGGAACAGCCAGCGTAACTTCTGCACTGACCCCAGATTTCCCAACAGACATTGTGACAAGCACAAGGGATGTTAAAGATAAAGACTGCCAAGCCATAGATGTATGAAAAACAGGGAAGTAGTACTCAAAGCATGTTCCACAGCTGCCAGTTTTAAATTTAGAGAGTACTGCATGACTGCTTTATTTGATTCCTGTTTTGGCAATCATGGAGACTTACAAACATGAAAATTCAGACTCATACAAAGTAAGAAAAGGTAATGGTTCATACTATAGGAAAAACAATAAATTTCTAGATTTTAGAAGCATGTTGAAAAAACATTTTGAATACAGATATAACTTGTCTGTTTGACAGACTTTTGTGATAGTCCAAAGACCCTGAGGGTCAGAGCAGCTGGAAGTCTAGCACAAAGAACCGTCAAGGGTGGCTTTTGTTCATTGAAGCAAAGGTTTTCCCTGAGTGTCTGACTGTTGTTCCCAAACAATATCTCTGGCACTATTTGCTTCAGGTGATCGTGGGTCCTGCTGGTCTTTTTGTCAGTTCTGTGAAGGCAAAGGACATTCGCTGCATGTCATCTAGACAATCAACCCAATAGAGAGTGCTTAGCTGTTGCACGTTATTTGTCATGTAAATGAAACCTCTTAATTTATCTAAAAATACTATTTTTATATACTTGATATGAAACATGTACCTAAAAATTATTTAAAATATTTATAAAGAGAATAAGAATTGGGTTTCATTTGGTAAAAGCTTGCAGTTTTAACAAGAAATGCACTACCATCATGTATTAGATCAAATACTATTTATTGTTAAGATATCATGTAGTTTACAAATGGCTTCCCTTTTATGTGCATGCAATTTGCAATGGATGTACTCATTCTGGTGGAATACAAATAAATTAAGGTATTATTTTATTTAAAAAAATAAAAGAGCTGGAATATTGTATCCTATAATTAGGTATCGCTACTTAAAAAGTGAGTTCTTATACTGATAACATTAACTGCTCTCAGTTTGTGTCTTAGTATTGCATTGTCATCTGTAAGACCAAGTTAACATTTTAAATACATTTCTGTTTAGGGGCTATATATCCGGTTAAAAACATTAAAATGGTTGAAAACCTATGAGCAAACTGAGGAATATTAAAGGAGGAAATTACAATTTTAGTAAGTCTGAATCAAAAAAATAAGATTAAAGTAGTTATTTATTAATTGATCCTTTTGTTTCATCTCTAAAAACTAGCTTTGATTTTTAGTCAGAATTTTTTTAAAAAGAGATTGGTGAATTATTTAATTCAGAATCTGACTTAATGCCCCCCCCCCCAACATTTTTTTTTTCTGGTATATAATGTACTAGAAACATATTGCTACAGTGCAACCAAGGCTACAGATTTGCATTGGAATTTTGATTTTTATATATAAAGATGTGCAGTGAACATCAAATTTACATATCCTTTAACAAGCTTTCTAAAAAAAACCCAAGCCAAAATAAATGTCCTAAAATGGATAAGTAAACTAAGTTATATTTAACAATTCATGCAAACTGGTGGTTATCAAATTAAAATTTTTACAGAGCACAGATTTAGGTTTAACTTCCCTAGGAGGTTATTTTGGTGGGATTTTTAATGGAAACTTCAAAGATGGAATATAATTTAACATTTAGCTGTGTGTAGGAATACAAACCCCAGCTGATACTCTGTGCCCTACCTACATCCTTTCACAGCCATTTCCCTACTGGTACAAATTAGGGATTAAGTGTCATCTCCCATTTTGGGCTACCTGAATTTTGCCAGTGTGTCTACACCTCAATGTGAGTGTTTATATAGGGTTTCTTACTTTCCCTCTCTTCCAGTTTTTACTTAGTTTAAGGTTAAATAGAGACATACTGATTAAATAAATAATATCCCAGAAATTTTAAAAACCAATAAAATAATAATAGTAGCAAATACAGTGGCAAGTACAGTTCTGTGGTATTTCTGCAAACAGTCCTAGTTCACCTTTGGCAATCTGCTGTCGCCACCCCACTTCAGCACTGGGCAGGAGGCTGGGGGAGGCTGCCTGCTCCTCTCTCCCAGGGCAGGAGCCCCACCTCACCTCAGCACCCTACAGCCACTGTCCTCTCCTGTCCTCAGCCACAAGGTGCAGCTCCTTGGGATGCATGGATACATGCTGCACAGCTGTCCACAAATCCTGATTCCTCTCCCTACTGAGAGCTGACTTACTGACTTACTGACTGAGAATGTATAAATACACCATGCCTAGTTCCTAATAGCATTTAACAATTTCCATTGCCCAGATAAATTGGGAGAAGCATTTTCTTTCTCATTTTATGACATATAGAGTTTTTGGGTCAGTTTTGTACAAAAGTTTTAAAAGATCAGTGGAAACACAAAAAAACCTCTTTGCATACACAGCTTTAGCTTTAGTGTTGTACATTTTATTCTCAAATAAAAACTCTTAAAAAACATGTGCAGCAATTATGAAGAAATAGCACCAGGAGATCTGTCCGAAGTTGTTCTTTGTTTCTGCAACTGTCAAGAACATCCCAAACAAAGCTGGCAAGCATTCTAATATTTGTATTGGCTATAGTTTCAAGGAACACACTAGAATTGTGGAGATTCTGTAAGATGGGCATCACACAGGTGAGTGCACTGCCTTCCAGGGAAAAGCTCAAGGAACTGCAGAGAAGGCAAGAACAATACCAGGTTTAACTCCAGCCAGCACCCAGCCCCATGCCACCCCTCACTCATTTCCTTCCTGTCAGAATAAGCAACAAAATTGGAAAAGTAAAAGCCAGAAAACTCATTGGTTGAGATAAAGACAGTTAAACAGAGAAAGCAAAAGCTGTGCATGCAAGCAAAGCAAAGCAAGGAATGAATTCACTGCTTCCCGTGGGCAGCAGGTGTTCAGCCATCTCCAGGAGAGCAGGACTCAGTCATGCGTAACTGTGACTTGGGAAGACAAACGCCATCACTCCAAATGTCCCTCCCTGCCTTCCTCTTCCTCCAGCTTCAATATGCTCGGCATGGCACCATATGGTATGGAATGTCCCTTGGATAAGTTGGAGTCAGCTGTCCTGGCTATGTCCCCTCCAACTTTCTGAGCACCCCATGCTGGTGGGTGAGGGGAGGAATAGAAAAGGCCTTGGCTCTGTGTAAGCCTTGCTCAGCTGTAGCAAAAACTCTTTCATCACCTTGTTTCAGCACAAATTCAAACCATAGCCTCATACCAGCTGCTGTGAAGAGCTGTGTGAAGCAAATTAAAAATCCGAGTCAAGACCAGCACACCTGGCCAAAATCAAGTAAAGAAAGAGGAAAGTCTTGAAGGGTTGTACTATTTTAAACTCCCTGACACCATCATAGTATGAAACTCCCAGGAAAAGCATTCCTCAAGCAGCTTTTGTTAGAAGGTATCTGCAACCAGTGCAAATTTTGAAGGTGAAATAACAATTCACGGGGACAAATTTGAAGGCATATACTTTTGAAATGGAACAATATCCAAGCAAGATTACCATGGACATAATAAATCTCCACACAGAGTGGCTATTGAGGATATCTGGGATTAAAGCAACAACTACTGTAATATTTACAAGTTACCTTCAAAAGACTCTCAGTATGAAAATCAATACAAGCATCCCACACACTAACATCCAACCACCCAGTTCAGACAACTGAATTTATTCTTTTTTACACTAACCTTTACAAAAATAATAAAAAACAATTGTTAAAAATTGTTCTTATCTAATTTTGCATCAGTTTACTTCCAAAATTTGCACCATTTCCTTCCTTTCTTGCATTTACTAGTACTGTCCGTTTCTTCTTCTGTAGAGTAATGAATTTTTTCCCCTTTCTATTTATTTCACCATCTTTTTCTCTCACTTATTCAGCTTTATAATCTCTTTCTAACTTCATCAAACCCAACCATATCTTTCATTGCCTGGTAATTTTTCTATTAAGCATCATCCTAAGTCTGCCACTAATAAACGAAATAGTTACTGAACTCTGTTGTACAATAGGACACCATATTTGGACTCTGTCAAGACTCAGGCAGTAAACCACTGGACTTTAAACCAAAATCTCCTGCACTGTTATATTCTCACAGTGCTGTAGTTGCTTTCACTGGGAATGGGAAAAATAATGGAAAACATGAAAAAGATGCACTGGAAAACAAACGAGTCAAAATACCAAAAGTAGGCAATTTGTCCTCTGCCTCAGATGCATCATTACAGATACGTACTTGTGCTGTGCCCATAGTACCTACTAGATTCCACTTTAAAAACACAGCTTATCACTTATCATTTTTTCACAAATCATAACCATAATTCCATAATTCATGGAATTAAATATACTATGTTCTTCTTATGCTTACCCTAATATATGCTATATATGCTTTGACAGTTGGTTGGTTATCTACCACAAATAACTTACTCTAATTAGTCCATCTGCTATCTGCACATTAGATTTCAATACATTCCCCTTTATAAGGCAATTTTGTAACACGCTGTGTTAATAACCTAGTTGGTAGCTTGTAAAAAAATCCTGTGTTTCACAAATGAAACCTTGGGTTGAAACAAACTGATCTCAACATTTTCTGCATCTTCTTTCCTTAACTTAAAAGCACATAGTTCTCACATGTCACTCAGTGGGACACACTTTAGGTATTTTCTTTCTGGGCACAAAAAGTGCACAGTCACATTCCCATGTTCTATAAAAATGTACTTCAGCTTTAAAAGAAAGAGGTTATAGCTGATAATTAAGGCAGCAGTGGAGTAAGAAATAAGAAAAGGGCTGGTGCTTGATTTTCTGGATCACTCTCCTATCTCAGTAACAGGAATTTGCCCAGCCGTCATCAATTCCAGCAGCCTACCTGGTACTGAGTCTTTGCTTCATTCATAAAATCAAGTAGCTTATCTCAAGAAATCTAAGCTCATCTCATTCATTATCTGCCAATTGTCAAAATAGATACTAGTAAAAAATAATTCACAGCTGCAGGTTTGTTAGATAATACCACATGCAAAATCAGTTTTACTCCTTTCAAGATGAGCATAAAAATCACATAATCATTCCCAGATGAACCACTGGTCTCTTGTGTACTTTATAAAATTCTCTTCCCTTGTATTTTATAAAAGTCTCTTCATTTCTCCTATCATACATTGTCAGTAGCAACAGCAATGACAGGAAACAGCAATTTCTGGTTTCAAAACAACAACAACAAAAAAAAAAAAAGCCACAGACCTGATCCTTTCATTTAGAGAAACTGGATTATGAAAAGCAAATTTTATCTATGTACCTTGATACAGGAATTTCCAAGTATCTGTAAATCTCTCAGAGAAGCAAGTCAAAAATGTTTAAGAGTTGAAAGACCTGTGTCAATAAGAACTTGGAACCACAAAAGTTGTGCAGAAGGAAAAGCAGTACCTTCCTCTTTCAAATTGTTTTAAATGTTAAGATTTAGTATGGATCCTCACATTTGTGCCTTGGGGTGTGTTTTAAGTCTATGCATTTATTTCCAAGAGATTAACACTTGAATTTGTTCTCTCTTCACAGATTTTCTGGAACCCATTTTGCTGGGTAAATCCAAAGGTTTTTTGCTGTGGTAAATCCAAAGGTCTGATACATGACCAAGAAATGGAAAGATAGAAAAAAAATAGTGAAGGTCTTTATCTTCAATTACACTGAATTTTACAAATTATGCATTACAATTGTAAATGGCTAGTATGTATTTAACCATGGACTAAAATACTAACATAATTAATATGACATGCAATAAATGCTTCCACCAACAAGCCTCTGAGAAATATTTCCTCGGTTTTTAAATTTTATTATCCTAGATGCTGTGTTATCAACCTCAAATACTCAAAGATCCCTGATAGGGTCCCTGAAAGAGCTACAACTTCAGACAACTATTTGAATTCATTCTCTTTTTCAAATGCCTTTGATCTATTACATTGATTTCTC